CAAATCCACAACATCTCCAGCATATGGAAACTACCAGTACACAGCATCAGTGAGAGCCATGAGCACAAAAGAGAAACAAATACTGAACATATGTTCAGTAAAGACATGCATTAACACTGGTGATCATACTGTGTGTAGATTACAGTCAGAAGTCTCTTTTCAGATTAACATACAAAACACACATTATATAGTCACAGACTTGTCAAGAAGAAAAGCTTCCACAGACAACCAGGCCTTCCTTTTCCTTACAGTTACTTTCTACATTCTTCAGATAAAACATTCACAGTGGATGAATACATTTAAGGCAATCAAGGCTGTATCAGCATACAACTGCTGGCTGCATTGTGCTTTCTAGGATTAAATCATGAAATGTTCTTAGTCAGGGATGCAGAACTTCCCTTGAAAAAACAAACTGTAGAAAAACAGCACAACCCAGTTATGTGAAAACATATTCAAACCTACTGACAGAGATGAAATCTTTGAAAGCTATGGAGAGTAAAGACCAAGGCTTCTCATCTGCTGTAACAAAGAATGTTTTCCTTACAGCTTCCTATCACATTCGTGTTCATCTTGGCTCTTCTGAGATGTAGTGGCCCATAAATTATCTGCAAACTACAATACAGAACTAACCAGGAACACATAAAATGCCTGAAAGCAGGCAGACAATGATGAAAACAGTTCCCAACCTATTCTATTGTTGTTCATGGAAACAGCTGATTTGTCAGAGATTAAGGTTCAAAAAGATCAGAAAGTCCATTTTAGAGAGAAATAGAAATCAAAAAAGTTTAAGTGTTACCATGCCTCTTTTTTCTTTAGCACATGATGAAGGCCATGTTCTGATGCTATCTTCCTTACGAAGCTTTTTGTTAAATCCCCTAAAGGGAAAATGGTTTTCCTCAAAGCATCCTGTGAGATCTGACTCAGAAAGAAGGTCTGGTCTTTGAAGAGGTCAGCTCCTTGAAGGAGTTTTACAGCTGCAAAGTATAAAACACAAAACAATCAACATAACTGCTGCCTTTAATGGTCAAACTTCCTTCAGCATTTTGTTCAATAACCAACATTTCAGTTTTACTACTTCCAAACACAAGCAAAAGACAGCATTTGGGCAAGGTGTACAAAATCTAATTGAGAACGTTTATTTTCTCACCACTGAAAAGGTACAGAAATATTCTGATTTTGTAGAAATTCATACATTGCCCCATCTATATTCTACTGGAAGTTTCACTGCCAAGACCATTAATGCTATAAAAGATGAAGACAACGTTCACATTTCATTTGAAAGACAGAACCAGTATTTAAACATTCTAGAGCACACTGTTAATTAAAAACATATTTTCCACTGAACTTACATTGCCATACATCAGTGACTTAAACAATCAGCAGTTATTCCCACTGGACGATCTCAGGAGAGATGTGAAAGCCAAGGAAGCATTAACATGCCAACATTACTGGGACAACTTTGCAAGAGTGGTAGCTTGCAAGTTTCTTTCCCTTTGGGTATACTGCATTTCCCATTTATACCAGAGTTTCATCTGAGTCACCTTATTACACTGTGGCCCACAGCAGTTATTGGCCAGGTAGCATCCAACCTGCAATAGTGCCATGCAGAGCCATACCCAAGCAGCAGTAACTAAGCCAGCTCACGTACTGACATAACAGAACTGCCATGCTGCAGGTGGAAACTTCTGATCACATATGGCCACAGGGCAGGCTATAAGAGTGAAGAGCAAAGCCTGCTGCTGCTATATTCCCTTGGCTGATCTCAGCATCACAGTCTTAGAAATGCCTGCATATGCTGCGCTCACACCTCCCAGCTGCAGTGCAGGCAGAACCTTACTCTGCCTTCCAGAGGGGAATAGAGAAGTAAGGTGCAACAGCAGAATTATGGAGTGAAAAACTGTTGTGTTTTTTTCCCCTGCAAAATAATATATGATCCATATAAAGCTATATAAAACTATGTTGTTAATTTTCATGTTTCAAAGGTCTTAAATCTAAAGCAGAACAAACATATCAAATAATTTTTACAGGACCCACTGAAGTACTCAACAATAATTTCTTCAAATACTTCCCCAGGACACAGAAGACAGCCCCATCTCCTTAAGTTGAAGAAGACAGCCCTTCCAGAATGTTGATTACTTCTGAATTAATTATTTTCACCCCTCTGCACCTGTATCAGCAAATGTACTACTTGACTGTCAGTGTAATTTTCAGTAATGCAAATCTCCTGTTTGCCCAATCCACATTCTAGAGACTGGGGTTTAAAGAGTAATCACTGCAACATAAAATACATATAGTTCAAATTTCTTTCAACCCTAGGATGAAATACAATGCTACTTACTGTTTCTAACTTCAAATCGGTTTCTGAAAAGCTCTCGGGGTCTTTTCGTATGTTTCTGTTGGAAAACCTCCTCGTCCTCCAGTGAAGTTCTAGCATAATGCCCAGTAGCAATTGCATCTGCTCCTAGTGAGGTATAAAACAAAACACCACAAAGACACATACTTGAAACTCATCATTTCAAACAGGCTTTTAAACATCTATGAAAAGAAAACAAAATCATGAAGAAAGAAAACCTATGGAGAAGTCTCATACGGCCAGTAATCACACTCCTGCTGTTTAAATAACAGGCTATCTGGTGGCATGCTGAAAGCCATGTTTCTGTACTTCAGGGACCATCCTAAGAATTAGACACAAAGCTGAGGTCAATACGTGTTCCTAAATTAAATCTGCTCCTTACCTATTTATCAGTATTCAAAACTGAATACTTCACAAATATTGAAATGCTGCCACAGAGATGGGTGATTTCTGTACACACGTGAATTCCCATTTTTCCCCTCCGTTCCAAGACTCTGTAGCACTTAAGCATCTCCCCACCACACACTGAAACTGACACACTTGGAAGCGCCTTACCAAGGTTATCCATAGCATAATGGAGAAAGTGGTTGAATTTGATATGCTTGTTACACACTATGTCAGGGTTAGGAGTCCTCCCCAGTTCATACTCCTTCAAGAGGTCACTGTAAAATAAAGATTCACATGTTCATTAACACCAATAAACAGAATAACACTCTTCAAGTCTGGAAGATAAGCAGTGAAAACTTGAGATCCACTCAGGCTAAGCATTTCATGTAAGACTCAAAACATCTGTTAAATTTAAAGATGTAAGAAACAACACTTGGAAGCAGACTTGAAGGCACAGTCAAGCAATCACTCATAATGTTGTCCTCACAACCCTGACTTATCAAACTGCCATTCCTTCAGAGGAGACACCAGGAGACCACAGGAAAAAACAAGGCCTCTAGTAGATCTTCCTACAAAAGGTTGTTTTTGATAAATAATCCTTTAAAAAGAGACTTCAGGTAATAAACTCAAGCTCGTCAATGACAGTAAGGAAAAAGGCTTCTGCAACAAACCAAGTCAAATTTTGCTTGGAAATTGCAAATTGCTTGGAAATGCTGTACTGACAAATGATGAGAAGCAGAAGTCAGTCTCTATGGTCTCTGGTTCATCGATTCACCATCACTTGCAGTCACCTCCCAACCCACAAGAGTTGTAACACCATTATTCCTTCTCTCACACCATGACCACATTCTTCACTGACTGCACAATTCTGTGCTCAACCTGATGTCATTGCAGTGAGATGCAGAGGGCTATTCCTCAGTGTCTTCCAAGACAAAGTAACAACAGCTCTACTTAAAGGCGATTGAAGATCCAGGGAACAACCTTTACATTCTTAAGTTGAATATGAGAGATATTTCATCGTTACACTGATACTACCCCTTTCCTTCTGCCTCCCAAGAAAAGCTCTCAGCTTTTTCCATGCATAACTTCCCTTACAGTGCGACATACTCATGGGAAGAGAAAATCTGAACGTCTTCTTTAGAGATCAGTTCCAAATTGGTTGGAAGCAGGGCTATTTCACGATCACTTTATGGTAAATCAGATATCCAACCTGAACATCCCCTGGCACAACTTGAGGCCTCTCCCTCTCATCAACTGCTAGTTATGTGGGAGCAAAGGCCGACCCCCACCTCCTCACAACCTCCATTCAGGCGGTTATAGAGAGCAATAAGGCCTCCCCTGAGCCTCCTCTTCTCCAGACTGACCCACCCCAGTTCCCTCAGCCGCTCCCCATCACTCCTGTGCTCCACACCCCTCACAGCTCCACTGCCCTTCTCTGGACACACTGCAGGGCCTCCATGTCTGTCTTGTAGTGAGAATCCCACAGCTGAACACAGCCCACGAGGTGCAGCCTCACCAGCACAGACAGCAGGGGAAGGAACGTTTCAGCATGATCTGGCGTTACAGTATGATTAGTACGATACACAGGCACGTATCATACAGCGCTCTGCACAAACTGCACAAAGAAGCAAAGAGGAGCCACGTCCCATTAATTTTTTCTTCTCAGGCTGCAGAAAGGCGAGGGCAGCGTGTGGGAAATACAAGAAATGAGCTGCAACAGATGCCCGGCCCCTCCCGCAGTTCTCGCCCACGTCCCGCAGCACGAACACGGCGGCCGGCAGCCGCCCACCTGAACACCTCGTTCCAATACTCCTTCACGTAGGACACCTGGTGGAACGGGATGCCCAGCTTCTGGCACACGCGGTACGCGTCCTCGCAGTCCCTGTCCACAGAGCAGGCGCCCTGCTCGTCCAGCGGGTCCCAGTTCTTCATGAAGACGCCCGTCACCTGGTACCCTGCCGAAGGAAGGCGAGGCTCGGCGTGAGCAAGGCGCTCCGGCAGAGCGGCGCTCCGGCCCTCTCTCGGCGCACGTTACCCGCGCCCACCCAGCCCCCGCCCGGCCCGCACCTCGGCGCCGCAGCAGCAGCGCGGCCACGGCACTGTCCACGCCGCCCGACACGGCGCAGGCCACGCGCCGCCCCGCCGCCAGCATCGTCGCTCAGCCCGAGCCTTCCGCCGGCGGAGGCCGTTACGGCCGCACCGGAAGGGGCCGGGCCTGGCCGGGACCGCTTTTTAAAGGAATACCAGCCGCTGCAACGTGTTTCTCTTCATAAACTTTATTAAGTCAATACGTTAAGCGGGCACACATCAAGTCCCTACGACGTGCTTCTTGTTATAATATTGTGTGCATTTTACTTTCATTTTACACCCCTTTATTTAAAGTGTTCATGTCCCAGGAAACTCAGATAGGAAAGCATCTTTCTGCTCTGAAAGGAAGTTCAAATTAGAGCTCCATGTGTCAAGGCCAAACCACGCAGCAATAACACACTGCCTTTCTTCTCTGAAAGATGCAGTCATCCCACTGCTGTGTGCAGTGTACTCCACCTGCATTCACAGTTAAGAGTTTCCTGACTTCAAATAATTTGTGTTAAAAAAGCTTGACCTGCACTTACCAGCCTTATGTGCATGTTCACATTTGCTAAGTGAAACAAGCTCATCTGTTCATATTTTGTATAACTATTTATTAAACAACTCATTTACTTTAAATTATATCTTCGTTGCACATAAGGGAGAGGGAGGAAAAGCACAAGTTAGAAACTAAAAAACCAAAGGGCTTCCAATACAGAGATTATTCCTTTCTGGCTCATACCAACAAGGTTTGAATACATTGTTGTATTTTACCTGTGAAAAGAACCCCATAATTTTGACCATGAGAAACACAGCAGCAATAGAATTTATCATGCATTCTAAATCCATCTTCATACAGCTGTGCAAGGGAAGAGCAGGATGTGAACACTTGCAGGGTTCTTCGCATCTGTGATCTTCTGAGTCAAGTTCAGAACTTCAGCAGAGGGGAATCCAAATTTTCTTTGTTTATATCAGGACTCAGAGTGATAAGAGGAGAGCTCAAATCAATCAACTGAAAGAAAAAAAATGATTATGTTTAGGTGTTGTACATAATTAGTAGTGATAATTTCAATTACTTTTTAAATCTCAGATTCCTGTTACTAACCAAAGGACAGATATAAGCACCACACAAGTGTTAAGGTTCAGAGTTTTAAAGATCTAGCTTACTCTTAAGACAAGCACAAACTTCCCACAAGGTGGATGTTCCCCAAGTTCATCTTTGAAGCCTTAAGGGCTTCTTATAGGTTTCACTGCTATGCACATTCAAGTGACAGTACAACCCAGGCACAGCAAAGCATTTCTGAACTGCTCTGAACATGCCCCTGAAGATTCCTGTGATCCCCTTCTGTGTTACTTTGAAGGGTCTGATATTAAATTGATCCCAAGTACAACTGATGTCAAAAACTACATTCTCATAGTTACCACCACTCATCTGAAAGCATCTCGAGGAGTCCACCTTCAAGCTGCTAGTGTACAAAAAGAAAAACACTTGCTCAGAAATGCTTGTCAGATTTAGACTGGGTTCCAACATACATTTTTCAGCTAAGGAGGGCTTTAGGAGAAGGGTTAAACAAGAGTCTCAGCATGCCTGCTCTGCAGAAGACAGCATTCACTTCCTGCTTCAGGAACAGTTTAAGGCCTGAAGCAATTTTTAAGGAAATTCTCATTCTCCAACCTCCTCCTGCTCACTCAGCTCCAGTTCAGTGCACATGGATGTGCAAACATTGTGCTCTCCTTAAAAGCACATTGCTATGTAGTACTGTGAACTGACTGAGCTGCTATTACAGCTCTTATGCTACCATGGAGCTGTCTGCAAACAGCTATATTGGCCACCTCACATTTTCCTGCTAGTATATATGCATCACTCCCTTCCCATCCCACCCCTAATACTTAAATATTACCTACCTTTATCTGCTCTGAGAACATAGGCTTCAGAGGAATAACCTTATTCACTTCAGGAGTATTGGAAAGGTCAATCAGAGGTCTGCTTCCACATTCCAAAGTTTGTGGGAGAGAGTTATCTGCTTCAATGTCTATCAGTAATACCTTAAAAAAAAAAAAAAAAACTTAAAAGGTTTTCCCCTCTGCTCTCCATGTTTTCTTCAAAATAATTTAAGCAATTAATTTTATCTTACATACAGGTCATGTTTTATTTACAGTTCGGGTCTTTCTCTTACAGGATTTTCTGCTTACAGCATTAAAAGCTTTTGTTCTGCCAATGGCTCTTACCACAAATAGAGAAAATACAACAAGACAAAGAAAAAGATCTTTGGAACATAAAATATTTTCACTTGTAAGTCAGATTTAGAAAAGTCTTAAATATTGACAGTTGTTAAACTACAAGAATTGTGCAATGTTATTTACCCAGTTTAAATACATAAGCAAGTCTGTAGAGCTCCAGATTTCAGTTACATTTTGTCCAGTTTAACTACTTTATACACGTACTAAGTAATTCCAGAACAGCATTTCACATCTGCCAGTAGATCAGCTAACGTGGGACAGAATTGATGCCATAACATTGAGTAATTCACCTGCAAGGTTTATTCTACACCTGGAATTCTGTAAATCTATAGCACTTGGGCAGGTTAAAGGTCTGAACTGCTAGTTCTGAAAGCTTTCTCCTTAATGCCTGTTGTGTGCCAGCTTTCAAAAGGAAGCCAATAGATCTACAGGAAAGAGGGGAAACAGCATTCAGTGGATTAACTGTGTGACAGTTAACTAACTTTTCTGCCACATGAGATTTGGGGTTTAATCCTTAAGCACTGTACACAGACTTGCTTTGCTGCTATGCAACTCAATTTCTCTAGAACAGTGCATGTTTTTCCCCCAAGAGGCCTCATGGTTGTGATAGGAATTGTCCTTGATAGTGCTTTCCTAACTGAATCTACAAGAATTTTGCAGCACTCACCTAGAAGTGAAACTTCAATATGAAATCTGCAAGTATACCATTCAGCTTCAATAGAGGAATTGTAGTAGGAACACAGAGCAGATGGTCATTGCTATAAACAGGCACTAGAGGGTGCCTGCATAGAGCTAACCTATTTTAACTACATGCACTGAATTGCTTTTTCTGCTCATATCTCAGCTTCAATTCATGTATTTTCATGTAGTTAGTTCTGTAGAAATATGGATTCTCTTATCTTACCTCTTTAGTTTGTCTCTCTTCAGCCAGCTGATTTTGTACTTCAGCCTCTTTTAATTTGTCTTCTACTATTTCTGTCACAGCTTTTTCTGGTGAGAAGTCAAGCATAAGAGGCAGCACAGGGGGAGGAGATGGATCATCTTCTGAAGATGATGACCGTGTCTCTTTTACCTGTTTAGAACTAGAAGAGCAATGAGTACTTTAATCAGCAGCAACAATTAAAGACAGGTAAGACAAAGACAGCCAAAGCGTTCCACAAAACCCAGTGCCCTAACTTCATTTTCTCCTTATTTTCCTTATCCTAAGTTTTGGACTTCATATGTTTCAGATCCAAAAGCACGCTGACTTCCTGAACAATGTGAAATACTTATGCTGTAATTTTTCACCTACATATGCAATGAAATGAGGTAATGGCTCTAAAGATTTCATCCTATGAAATGCCTATGTTGACACACACATTCTGCCTAAACTTCACACATGGTTTTTTTTGTTAAGGAACTGTAGTCTAATCTACATGATAAAGTTGTTTTAGAGGCAGTGAATTGCACTCAAATTATAATTGGTCAAAGAAAAGACGATTTAGGGAATTTAGGCTAATTAATAAATCAGAAGATATTCACTAGCTATGCATAGTTTGTACTTGACCCTCCAGCCCTGGAGGAAGCTTGTATATGCACCTGTGAGAAGATGCTGGACTGTGGCATGAAGGCAGCAACATTATCCTTGCAGAAATTAGATGGGTAGTTAGCAGTAGCAAGGGATTCTCTCCCTTGCACAAGACATTGTTTCAAATGAAAGATAAATCACTTCAAAATTCAATAGAGAAATCCTTGGCTTTTTGATGAGGCTTCAGAGTAATTTTACAAAAGCATTGGCAACCACAAGGAGCAAAACTGAATTTTATTTAACCAGCTACTGCTCATTAAAAGGCAACAGCAAATGAACACCAGCTACAACTATCTTCAACTGGAGTATGATACAAGTTTCAAGTTGCTCAATAGCTCAACTAATTCAAATAACTTCCTAGGAGGTTAGAGTTCTTTGATGTTGACTGATGTTAATGTTGACTGATCTTAAGGCTGACCGTATTTTACTAATTGCAAGACATACATCTACATCAAGGTCTATACTGTATCTAAGTGTTCTAGTGTTCTACTCTAAAGGTAGAGAAAAGATCCTTGAAAATTGGAAGTCATTAAATTTCATTTAGAAGCAGTTTAGCTACAACATTGATTTCACTTCTCCATTGCATTGGAGAGCAGGGGGTGTTCCTCCTTACCCAGCTGTGAGTGTCTTTCTGGTAGAGAAGCTGGAACTTTGGTGAACAGACTCAACACGTGGAGAAAATACTGTTCTTGGTGTGGTTTTAGGAGTTGCTGCTGGAAATCCTGAGATACGACGGACAGGTGTAGGTAAGGCAGACCGTCTCAAGCTGCCAGGAGTCATGGAGACAGGCCTCTCACAAGGAATCTGAAATATCCCATCTTCAGAAGCTTTCAGGGGTGTGCTGATTGCCATGGCACTAAGAAGAGGCACACAAACAAGCCAAAAGTTCTTAGAAAGTTCCATTCAAAGAATTCTACCAGACAATAGAAATCAGTTAACCTTTGATCAGTAACTGAAAGGTGATCATCAAGAAATCAATACCTATGGCAAAGTAGGGGTTTTACTTCAAAAAGAATTGTTATGAATAACTGTAGTTAAGCCATACAAAGGTGATCCTCCTCCTGAAGTGTTTTGGATGTAGATTTCCCCTCCCTTCCCCAAATCACTTCAGAAATTATTAACACAGCCTGACCTTGATGGTCTTAAGTGACTAGAGAAGCTTGCCTTTAAAGAACTTAGAGCTTTTGAAGACTGTTGCTATGACTACCCATGTTATATACAAAAAAGTACATTCCATTCAGTCCTACCTTCCAACTTTGCCACAAAATGTTAATCCAAGAGATGGTGTTGCTTTTGTTGCTGACTCATTTGGCGTCAAATCTAAAGAGAAATGCTTTGTTATTTGTTATCCACATCCATGTTTAATTTTCAGAACTACAGATACCTTTCAATTAGAGCACTTGTTCCTACCGAGCAGTGGATAGAAGTGTGATGAAAGAGCAAGCACTCAAAGAAACTTTTGATTTTATGAGCCAAATCAGAAGATCAGCTACGTAAAGCATATGCTTACCTCCAGCTTTCACTGGAACCTGAGTTTGACCTGCAGGAACTGACAGATGTCTAGCCCTGGGCTTTGGGCACAGGCTTCCTTTAGTTGTACTTCCATCTTTATTTTGTTGACATAGCTTCTGCAGACTGGGGAAAGACTTCAGCCTCTGAATTCCACTGCCTTCAGGTTGAGATGGCACTGTTAGTGCAGAAGCTGAAGATTTAGCCAAGCTTGCAGCACTAGATATTTTGGGAGTACTAGCTGATCTTGCTTGCTTGCTGGATCTTTCAGTATTGACAGCCTGCAGAGATGAAACTCTGGTTTGTCTGGCCAGAGATTGTCTGTTTGTACTAGATGAAGGTTTAGAGCCACTCACACCAGCTTTTGAAGTTGCATTTGATTTCCCTGAAATAGAAAGCTAAGTTTCATTTCTGAATCATTGTTTATTGCTAAGCTGGATTAATAAAAATAATTAACCTTGCATAAAACAGTGATCTACAGCACTTAAATTTAATAGCAAACAACTTAAGTTCGAGATGAAAACTTACTCCCTGAACACTCAAGCAATGATACCTGCTTTAGAAATTCTCCTTGCCAACTATCTGAATTATAAATTAGTACAATTAAGTAAAAGAATATTCTTCAAGGAATGCCAGAACAGCTTGCAATATAAGTTACATCTTCAGCATGTTTGCTCACCAGACTTGGGATTGTTTCCTGAAGTATTTTCCACTCCAGTGTTTGCTTAAGTTACATTGATTAACACCACAGGCTGAACTACACCATAAGGGCTTCTCTCAGTTGCCAGTTTTTACTTGTAGTCTGTACATTTATAGCACGAATCTTGACTTTTTATACTTCCTATCATATAAAAAATTATTAATAAGCCTTAACTTCTGATAGAAACCTTAGTATCAGCCCAGCAACAAAGTATACAATAAGAATTTGCTGTAGCTTGGAATCTTGCTGGATCTACAGGAACTGTGGTGTTTGTAACTACCACTGTTTTTAGGATACAGTAACTTCAAAAGAATGGAGAAAAAAGTAAGGGTCAAATTGATAGCCTTACTACAGTATAACTGAATAGAAAAATTAACTCTCCAGAGTTGGGCTTTTTTCCATCTTCCTGAAGAAAACTCATCCTGTTATTAGCTAAGAATTAAACAAATTCAGAATTTGGAAGTAGCCTTCACACCTTACTACTTCAGTTCATTTTGTTGTTTTGTGGGACTTTATCAATAGTTCAAATCTGATAAACATACAGCATTCAGGACCTTAAATGCTTGGCTATAACAGAAAACAGCATACAACAAAAACCGACTTGGTGAGGTTTTGCTTATTTTCTAGCTGTCAGATGCATCAGACTTGTAGGTATCAGGCTTACAGGAATCTAGTCAGTACAAGCAGTAGAAGTAATTTAATATTTATCTTCAATCCATAGGGATTTGTTTGGCTAGCCTACAAGATTTTATTCTGCATTCAAATTATTCTGTACTGATTGTATGTACTAGACGCCACTAAAACGTTCAGACCCATGGGACAAGAGTTGCTTATCTACTTTAAAACTGACTTGTTAGACAAACCTTTAGTTAGAGTACTTACCATTTTTTCCTATGGGAGAAATGGGTAAACTTGAGTTCAGATTTGAGCTCACACTGGAAACTGATGAAGTACTTTTCCTTGCGAGACCACTGGTAACACCAGGAAGCTTCAGATTTGTTTTTTTTAAACCAGGCTGAATCACAGAACATAGACAAAAGTAGTATTTAGTATGTTACTCTGCTAGGCTGCTGCGTGGTGTTACAGTCGTGTGATTGTTGGAGAAATTCCTTCCTTGGGTTACAACAGGTTAAAAAACAAGATCTCCTGGAAATAGTTCACTACATCTGGATATCATACAGAAGTGAAGTAAGAATTTTCTGAAGTAGGCTGTTATTTTTATTGCTGTCACAAACCTGAGTATAGACTTAAAACAATCTCCTTTATCTTATCTTCATATTAGGATTATATAGGACTCCTGAAGAAGTTATATCCTACATCAGAAACTTTGAGGGTGGATAGTGATAGGACAAGGGGGAACTGAGACAGGGGTGGTTTAGGTTAGATACTAGGAAGAAGTTTTTCCACACAGAGGGTGGTGAAGCACTGGAACAGACTGCCCAGGGAGGCTGTGGATGCCCCATCCCTGGAGGCATTTGAGGCCAGGCTGGATGTGGCTCTGGGCAGCCTGGTCTGGTGGTTGGTGACCCTGCACACAGCAGGGGGTTGGAACTGGATGAGCATTGTGGTCCTTTTCAACCCAGGCCATTCTGTGATTCTACAAAATTAAATAACAACACTGTGTCACTTTCCAGGACTGTGGGCTATGCAGTCATATGAGGGTGGACAGGTAGCTTCAGGTAAACCTGTTATCACCTGCTTAGTTGTTATATGCTACTGCCACCTTCCAAAGAGCAAGCTAGATGACAACCAATCCCCATGAGTGCAAACAAGCCAAACCAAACATCAGGTTCCACTGGCCTCTCAGTGTCCTGCATACCTCATGTCTTCTTCCTACACCACCTGCACCATTTTCAGGGAAACTTCAGCAGTACACTGTGAGCAAGCATAAAGCAGTACTGCAGCTGTGCAGGTACCTACAGCTTCAAAACAACTTAATGCATGTTCATGCGTGTTATGGCAGCTTTGTCCTATAGTATTTGTTTCTTACCTAGAATTACCACTCACTATCTGCAGTTAATACTTTAAAATGCCTATGCTTGTTATTCCAACATACTTCTAGCTTTTCTGAAGTATATTCATTGTGGTATTGACATAGAAAACCATTAAAGATAGCAATCACAGCACAGGGACTCCTTTTCCTCAAACCTATTAAACACAAAAATAGAGCTTTAAGTTAGAAAATAAACTATACTCAGTTTTTCTTCTTACAGAAAGAGAAGTAGTATTGTTGTCATGTTAAGAATGTTCATCATTACCTTATTTGGAGCAGGAAGGACTTTTTTGTCCTGCACTGAGGAACTGCCACTTAATGAAGACTCAAAAACATCTGAAGCAGCACTTGATTTATCTGAAATTAGATCTTCAGATGATCCCACGCTGGTCAAATCTCTTTTTGTAGAAATATTAGTCTGTTTCCCTGGTTTGGCCTGCAAATTTCAATGCAACATTTTAAAAGCTATTTTTCTGTATACCACTTTAAAGCTTTTGTTCATTTTGTTAAGAAACTGAGCCAGCACTCAATGAAAAAGTCTTTGAATCCAGTCACGCCCTTAGTCTCTAGGCCAATACAGTTTAAGTTGCCTTCTGAGTACATCTGCTAAGCATTAGAAAAGGCTTGAACACATAAGAGAAATCAACTGAAGGACAGTTCTACAACTGTAATCAGCACATTTCATATAACCATGTGCAGTAATAGTTGTACTTCACAACTATGAGGTCTCCATTTAATGCATACTTTTCTGCTTTATTCTAAACTTGCAAATGATGAGCCACTACAATAGCAGAGTACATCACCTGAAGTGCCTATTTAGACTGGTAGTAGAGTACAATTTAGCTGTGAAAGCATTAAGTCTGTAATTTTTCTTATAGCACCTGAAAAAAACCATGAAATTGTCCATTTTCTATCATCTATTCCATTATCTATCTATGTGAGGGGTCACACAGAGCAATATCCCACTTTCAGTAAGATCTGGACTACATAATGGAGTCTAAAATTATATGGTATAGAATAATAAAATTTCAAAGTCTAGAGACTGGATTTGTAAGCACAAAGGCCACTAACAAACAGCTGTTTCCTTGCAATTCCCTTTCACTATTTTCCTAGGTTTCTCTTTTCAGTTTATCTCGTTGCCAAATCTTAAACCTTACACTGCTGATCAGTGCTTCCCATGACTGGAGAAGGGTAGACTGAATGAGAACTCAACTAGGAAGGTCTTTCTGTCATACCACAATAGTTGTGCTTTTTCCCTGTAGCTCCTTCAACAAAAGTTAAAAGTACACAAAATCTTTTTTTGCACAAGTTGCACAGAAAAAAATCCACATCAAAACCAGTGTTTAAACAGCAGCCAGGAATGATGGCATTCCCAAAACCAGAACAGAATTACAAGTCTGCCAGCAGTTACTCTGCATTGTCACAATAAGTAAACCAGTTGGCTGCTATATTATATCTGCCCCACTTTTCTTTTTCTAGTGTGGGACTTTTCCTGCCTGAGCATTTTAAGAAGCAGAGAAACTTCAGAAGATTAAAGCTCACTTATAAAATCAGTACACAGATTAAACATTTCTGTAACAAAGATCAGGTTTAAGGAAAGCACTGTTACATAGAGGACATACCTTTTCTACAGTCAGCATACTGCTTTTCCCAAGAGTAGATGAAAGCTTTGGCATTAGCAGTTTGCCTGTTGCTTTCTTGGTTTTTTCCTTAGTTTTCTGTTCCTGTGTCAGAGGCGAACTGATGATTTCTGTAGGAGCTGCCTGAATTTTAACAGGGCTTTTGTCTGAAGGAATATGAAGAATGTGAGTCTTGTCACCTGACAGAAGTTTATCTGATTCCTTCTGAAAAGAAGGCAGCAGCATACAGGCAGGGCTATCTCCCACACAGTATGTCTCCCTCTTAACAGCCCGGGGACTTTGCTCTATATGATGGCTTTTCAGTATTTTCATTTTTGACTTCAAATCCTCCACAAATTGTTCAGAAGTCTCATTTCCATTTTCTTCTGACTGGCTTATTTTATTCTCTTCACTCTTTCCACTTTCTAACTGCAGTGCTAGCAAATGAGCTTCTTTGAAGATCTCCACAAATTTATCTCCTATAAGTGTGCTCCACGTGAGTTTGTCATCAGAAGCAGGCATCTTTCTTTCAGCACTTTTTGCTTCAATATTGACAGCAATACATTTTTCTTTGTGTCCCAGAGATCCAATAAAGACTTCATCTTCACTTCCACTATGAAGAAAAATAAGTCAGTCTGGAGCTTACTTCATCTGCATTTCAAAAGGTATATTTATTTACCTGTTTACATTAGCATACCTTGCTGGAGAAAGTGAAAGGTCAAAATCAAACTTTTCATCAGCCAGAAGAGGAAAGTCTGAAACTATAACAACTTCATTAGAACTTTGTCACAGTAGAGATTGGCAATAAAAATGACTATGTTACGTTCTCATAATTTGGTGAATCTGACAGCACATTTAGTTGTCAGGTTTGAATAACTGATTTCTTTGACCTTAAACATGCTTTGATTATTTTAAAGGCACAGCAGTATGATCAGAATTGTGACAGATGCCCAAATACCATGAAAGACCTAAACAGTAAATTCTAAACATCCTTAACAGAAACAACAGGAATCTGAGGTGGAAAATGATTATCAGCAGCTTCAAGACAGAAGTGAGAATATGTAAGCAAGAACTGGATGACAACACAGTTGTCCTATCAGTCATTTCCTTTCTAGTTGAGGCCAGTACAGGACATTAACACGAGGTTACAAGAAAAATGTTTCCCTTTTAACCAATTCACGCAGTAAGCATTAACTGAATCAGCAGCAGACAGATAAGAGAGGAGCTCAGAAGAGATACGTAGGGCAGGCTGACGACCTCACGTCACCACGTGCATTAACACCAGAGCTCCACAACGTCTCGAGGACACCCAAGCACGAGTCTGGTGACAGCGCCCCATGCAAGGAGAAGTACACAAAACAGGATACACAGCAGATTAAAGAGGTCCAGCAGTCCGAACGGCGCCCACTTCTAATGCGGGTTCCCCACACGCAGGGCTCCCCAGCACCTTCTCCACCTACCATCCATGTAAGCACTCGGTTTCTTCACCACACGCCCGGAGCGAGGCAATGCCATTTCTCTTCCCTCCTCCATAGCGTCTGGAAGCACAGTGATGCAGCAGGTTTTAAATACAGCAATTAGGAGAGAAGCCCCACGTAACGAAGGCGCTGAGGAGCGCCGCACCACTCGCCTCTGCGGAGCCGCCGAGCGCGAGGCAGCCCCCCGTTGCCGGCTGCGCGTTTGAAATCGCGCCCCGCTCACGTGACGCGTGACGCGCGCTCTCATTGGCAGGTTCGAACGATACTCCTTTTCCCGAGCACTGTGGGGTTTGTAGTCGGCCGGCGCCTCCCAACGGCCGCGCGCGGCCCTGTGGGAGCGAAACGTCACGCCGGGTGTGCTGGCGGGGGACCTTCGCTGGAGGAAATTGGGCGGGTTAAGTGTGCTGAGGCTGGCACTGACTTCTGTATCCATGCGGCCCAACCCTTGCCCCGGCACGGACCCCCGAAGCAGGGTGCCGGGGGCCACAGTCAGGCGGCTGCTGAAGGTCTCCGCTGAGGCGATCCACAGCCGCTGCACGGCGATGCCGGCGCTCAGCCATCTGCACGGCACAGAGAGCTGCCTGCTGTGCAGCTGGTGCCTCTGCGTTCCGCTGCGTGCCCGTGGCCTCCTAGCGTCTCCTAAGATATATTTGGGCTTACACTGTCTCAGAAATAAAGTCAAGTGGTGTATTCTTCTGGAAGTGTTTGAGTATGACTGATTGAATCACTGGATTGGAACTTAGCAGCTGAATAACAACAGGTAATCATGGCCTGCAGATTGTAAAGCAGACAAAAAGAAAAAGAAAGTTGTAATGTTCTTTCTATTTGTCTGCATAGTGTGGTATCTCTCCCACCGTTAAGCAGTATGTATATGCAACCTGAGTGCATAGCAAGCGTCCTACTGACTGGCTTACAGGCACAGTGCATGACAAGGACTGATGTGCTCTCCTCCATCCCTTCCCTCCTCAGCCCCCAGCACAGGTTCCTAAGGAGACTCTCCTGGCAGGTGGTGGTCAGTGAGGTAAGGAACTCTCAGGCTTTGTTGCTTGTAAAATGGGCCAATATTCAAGTGTTACTATCTTTCAGCTTCTGGCTTTTTCTCTCAGGATATTATAACTATTCCCTTTGGTATTTTCTTCATGGGTCCCTGAATTACTGTTGTTGATGTCACAATTCCAATTCTGTGCTTCTGTCTTTCTTCTCTTGCGCTGTGTTAACTTAGAGAATGTCTCACTAAGAGCTCAACAACAATTATTTCTTTCATGGAATCATGTACTGCGTGCAGTTCTGGGCTCCCCAGTACAAAAAAGACAGAGATCTCTTGGAAAGAGTCCAGCGGAGGGCCACAAAGATGGTGAAGGGCCTGGAGCATCTCTCTTAAGAAGAAAGGCTGAGTGAACTGGGTCTGGTCAGCCTCGACAAAAGAAGACTGAGAGGGGACCTGATCCAGGTCTATAAATATCTAAGGTGTGGGGGGCAGAATGGCGAGGACAGACTCTTTTCAGTGGTGAGTGGAGACAGGACAAGGGGAAACGGCTGGAAACTGCAGCATAGGAAGTTCCGCACAAATGTGCGCAAGAACTTCTTTACAGTGAGGTGACGGAGCACTGGAACAGGCTGCCCAGGGAGGTGGTGGAGTCTCCTTCTCTGGAGATGTTCAAGACCTGCCTGGATGCCTACCTGTGCGACCTGCTGTAGGGAACCTGCTTTGGCAGGGGGTTGGACTCGATGATCTCTGGAGGTCCCTTCCAACCCCTACAATTCTGTGATTCTGTGATTCTATGATATAATGGCCAGGGTTGGAAGGGACCTCAAGAATCATGAATCTCCAACCCCCCAGCCACATGCAGGACCACCAACATTTAATACTAGACCAGGCTGCCCAGGGCCACATCTGATCTGGTCTCGAACACCTCCAGGGACAGAACATCCACAACCTCTCTGGGCAGCCTGTTCCAGTACCTCACCACTCTCTCACTAAAGAATTCCCCCCGACATCCAGCCTAAATCTCCCCTCCCTCAATTCAAAACCATTTCCTATTGTCCTGCAGTTATCAACACTTTCAAAGAGTTGATTCCCCTCCTGTTTGTATGCTCCCTTTAGGTATTGAAATGCTGCAATAACTCACCTCGCAGTCCTTTCTCCAGTCTGAACAAGCCCAGTTTCCTCAACCTGTCTTCATAGGGGAGCTGCTCCAGTCCCCTGATCATCTTCATGGCCCTCCTCTGGACTCTCTCCAACAGCTCCCTGTCTTTTTCGTACTGGGAGCTCCAGACCTGGACACAGTAATCCAGATGGGGCCTTATAAGAGCAGAGTAGAAGTGGACAATCACTTCCCTGTCCCTGCTGGCCACCCCTCTTTCAGTAAGCTTGAGTGAGTACCCATGGCTGTATTAACAAAACTGGGCCATGTGCACTTTGAAGGATAGCTTTCCACAAAGAAAATTATGATACTGGATGAAAAAAAAAAAAAAAAAAGAAAAATTGGGAGATATCGATACTTTATTATATGTCCAAAAGTGAAAAAGAAACAGAAAACTGAGATGAAACTATTGGGGAAAGAGGCAAACAGACAGCAAGTGGTGTAGATCTCAAGACTGAAGTGGGAAAAAAAAAAAAAAGATGAAAACTGAAAACTGAAAACATACAAGCATCCAGCTCCATTGGCAGAAAACAAATGTTGTAACTCACTATGTCCCCAGAATCACATCTGAAAGAGCTCTAAGTCAGTAGATGCTTATTATTTTTACCGATGTTTGAATTTCTTCCTTGAAGTCATTATAGTATTTCTATTAGTCTATATTTGGTGCATTGTTAATAACAAAAAATATGATGTCCTCAGTAATCCCACCTGCTACAGCAACACTTCTCACATAGCCATAAAGGCCAGACACACCTCTATGGAAGTGTTCATGACGTGCTCTCCTTGTGGTTGAAGCACATTCATCTAAAAGGAAATGGAGACTCGATTCAGTTTACATAAAACTGTTACAGACTCAATGAGCTCAAAATAGCTCTACTTACAAGCATCATTTATGGAAAAGTTTTAAGATCGATAAGACTGTCTGTAAACAAGCTCAGTCTTATGTTTCAAAGTATTTAATTGTGTAAACATTTACTTTACATTTTAAGTTTCCTGTAACAAACTTTCTAGAGTGTAGATGAGATTGCAATACATATTTGGGCATTATTAATAGTTCTAATAAAACTGAAAGAACCAAATATGAATTATATAAAAATATGAATGCCATAAGAAAGACAAAAGCCTTTACTCATATCAGAAGTACGAGTTCAGATTTGTCTTAACAATTACGTGTGACAATAAGCTTAAAGCAACACTTAAATAAGTGATAACTTTGTTTTACTTGTATAGCAATTCAAAGATGTTGCATGAAGATGTTCACATTTTATTTTGGGAAAGAAAGACTAAATTAAAAATTTTAATACTATTTATTCTTGTGTCTTAGAAATGCTTGCTGCACTATTGGATTTATCACATCAAGCCATCACAAACCCAACTAATCATGTAATGTATAGCTTTGTGGAGAACTTCTGCATTGGCACAGTATCTCATTAATTAGGGCTCCAAGTGATTAGGGAGATACGGAATGTACATGGCTTAGTTATTAACCATAAGTATCCAAATGTTTTTGTGTTGATATACTGTTTATTGACTGCCTACTGAATATGATTGTGTTATAAAAATAATCAGGTTTTTAAAGAAGACACCTATTTTTTATTAAAAATATCTGAATGTTAGTGTACATTTAAGTGATGGTGGCTTGAAATTTCGTACCAGGCAAGTTAAACCTAATTACAAGTGTAGAAAGGAACGAAGTTTTGTGCAAAAAATAGCCTGTGATCTAATGGAACGCTGTAAGTTACAGCTCATCCTGCATGTTTCACCACCAGCACCCTCCATCTGTGCCTCACTTCTGTTGCTATGAATTTGGCAGCATTTAAGCAGCTAGGCACTGTTTATAAGAAAGGATCCCAGCAGCTATAAGAAGTCAGCCTTTGGGATTACTCATCACTTGCCTTGTGAGCTGCTTCAGGTAATTTTGTGAAGAACTGTGACAAAATTGTCTCTAGAAGACCAGTAATTGAGGAACGCTGGCGGACACCAATTAAGCACCTTCAGACTGGCGTTGGTCAAATTGGTGAGCTCGGAAGAAAGATTCTTTGAGTTGGTACAGAGTGAAGATTTTCCTCTCTTGCAAAAGGACGCAGGGATAAAAAAAGGACAACTTCTTCATCTCTGCAAGAAGAAATCTGATTCACTGCGAACTCAATCACCAAGATAACATGAATGTTTCCAGGAGGTAAGCTGCACACACCGCATTTCCCTCAGGCAAATAGAAATAGGAAAGCAAAATTTTGACAGGCACGATATTCCGCTTTCAGTCTTAACATGATGTTGCCAGATAATCATGAGCTATGTCTCTTGATGTGGGCTTACATAAGACAGAAGGCAGCCCTTGTCCCAATACCAATGATAAATGTGTATTTCTTATTCTAAAAATACTTTCTGTAAAATCTCAGCTGCTGAACTTGTCTTTACTGATGAATTACCTTCGCAGATCGCATTCCTAGACTTTCATTTTTAAAAGTCTGTTCTGACAGTTTTCTTCCAAGTGTGCGAAAGTGTAATTTGTGCTTAAAACCTCTTTCCATTTAAGCTATATATTCTGTAATTTTTTTCTTGGTGACCCCTACACTTTTGTGATAATAACAGCAGAAACATGTATGAACCAGAGCTTTAGTACATTTGATAGTTTTCAGACCCCTTCCTAAGAAATATGAAATTCATAAGCTGACAGATCTCCCTTCAGTATTTCAGTTCAGATGGATTTGTGGGCATTCAACATTTTTATCTCTTCAAAAAAGGAAGCAGCCTCTCTAGGGCTGAGCAGGCAATTTTTCAGATGAGATAACAGTAATCAGAGGTCACTTACTATATGGTAGCTCTTTAAAACCATTTGGAAAAGGTGACAAAGCTATGTAAGATGTTCACTCAGAGAAATCTGGAGATAGTGCTTACTCCTGACTGGTATCTTCAGTTAAAGAATACCTTTAGAAACACATTGTCCGAGTGGGAAAGTGTCACAGCACACGTTGTTCCTATGTCCACAGATTAAAGATTTAGAACCCATTATTATTATTTTTTAAAATATATTTAACCCTGTTACTCTCAGTATGTACATACATAGGTTGAGGGAGCTGGGCATGTTCAGACTGGAGAAAAGGTGGCTGCAGGGTGACCTCATTGCAGCCATCCAGTACCTAAAGGGAGCCTATAAACAGCAGGGGAGCCAACTCATTGAAAGGCAGATAAACAGCAGGACAAGGGGAAATGGTTTTAAGTTGAAGAAGGGAAGATTTAGGTTGGATGTCAGGGGGAAGTTCTTCACAATGAAAGTGGTGAGGTGCTGGAACAGGCTGCCCAGAGAGGTTGTGGATGCCCCATCCCCGGAGGTGTTCAAGGCCAGACTGGATGGGGCCCTGGGCAGCCTGGTTTAGCATTGAATGGGGAGGTTGGTGGCCCTGCATGTGGCAGGGGGGTTGGAGATTCATGATCTTTGAAGTCCCTTCCAACCTGGGCCATTCTGTGATTCTATGATAATACTGCAAAATGTAAAGGCATGTTTTTACTCATAAAACTGATCTGCATCAACAGCAGAGAATAAGAGCACTGTACATCCTCTCAGAAGCTTGTATACAGTCTCTGTCCTGTCAGTGTGAGAGAAATACCAAATGGCTGGTAAATGTTCTGTGTTTCCAATTATGGAAATTCCTTTATTAGCCTCATTGAGTTTGAAGACCTCTTTCCCAAATCTAGCCTATGATCTATGAGCTTCATTATAAACACCATAGAACTATTAGTAAGCAGAATCATTTTTATCTTAGCCTTGTTTTTTGTTATGACAGGATACATTCCCTCCGAGCTCACAGACAGAAAACCAATACCAACACACATGAGAACTGGCACAGTACCTCTGCATTCAAGCAACAGCGTGGGGATGAGCTCGCTACAGTCCTTACGCTGTACACAATAATTGTCATGGTCCTTCTAATGGCAATCTGGGGAGCCTGGGCAAGAAAGGATTCATATGTATAGCAGCAGCGTGTTTTCTCTGTTAAACATTAAAAATATGTATCTGTACTGATTATTTGTACCCAGGAGATACAAAAATGGTACTTGCATATTATAGCTTACTTGAAACTGCTTCAACAATGGTTACTTGGGATCTGAACCTTTGAAGACATTTAATAGACAAAGTACAGAATGTGACTGTGAGTAAGATAACATAAAACTGTTTGCACTGTAAATATGTTTGTATTACCATTTGCATGTATAATTTTAAGCACAATATGCTTGCAGGAAGAACGGTTCAACCAATCAGCATCAGTCAATTGTATGTGTATTTCAGCAGCTTTCCATTTTTTGTCTTACATTGTCCATTCTCTACCTCTGCTAATATTGCCATGGTAAAAGATACTGTATATATATAAAAAAGCAACTAATCTGTCACATCACAACATAGGAAAAAATAAATAAAAACAGCTACCCTGCAGGCTAAGAAGGACCTCTGAAGATGTCAAATACTCGTCTCAGTGGCTGAAAGTTTATGTTGACGATGGGTCTTGCATTTGTTTAACTTCTTGTAATACATTTGTAAACTCAGGAATAAACCCACCAAATAAATCGTACTTGTAAGCATCTTTTGTCACAGGGCCATCTGGCCCAGTTTTTTATTTTTGCAGCACCAAACAGACATATCCATGTCAGCTCTAAACAGGCCACTGGGGAATCAGTATTCCTGTACCAATGCATCTCTGACTGAGTTGCAGGACTTAGGTAAAACCCCTTTGGGTAAACCACCTCTTCATGGTTTATAATGAGAGCAAAGCTTTTGTCATGTTTCCTGAAAAACAGCTCACACAGAAATGATACCAAGAAACTAGATGCTCAGTGTAGCAAATACAGCCATAGGCTGTATGGGGCCCAGTTGCATTTACTGTATACAATCGTAAGCTGCATACTTGGCTTTCAGAACCATACGTTTCAGTAGTACAGACTGGACAAAAATTAGTCTTTGTTGCTGGTGCTGCTGTTTTCTTAACAGTTGCCTTCAGATATGGCCACAGAACAATCAGGAGAATCGTACAGATGCGGAGGCAGTCTATGCTCTGCTTCTCTCTTTCCTTGAAGAATGTATGTGCCCCTTTCATGTCACTGCTGGATTTGCCATATGACAGAAGATATATCTCCCCAGCCACATGGCTATACATCAGATCCTGCACACATGCACCATATTGCAGGAGAAAGCTGCTTGCTGACACCCAATTGAAGGACAACGGCCTCAACCATGAGAACATGAAGTCTGAAGCGTGTATCTACTTCTTATACTACAGACAGGCAAGCAGTTCAGGTAAGTCATAGTTGAGATCAGTCTGGGCTGAAAGCTTGAGGGCCATTTTAACTCAGTAATGAACAACCTGTTAACTTTACAATGTACTACAATCTCACTGCAAAATGCAGCTTTGTACATTCTGCTCATGGTTGCCCTACCTCCTCTTTTTTTTTTTTCTTTCGTGTGCGTGTGTTTGCTTAGCTTGTTTTATTTTCCCCAAAGAAATTAATACGTTGCAAAGCATTCAAGCAGGAAAGACAGTTATGTGGAATATTAGGTTTTAGCCACTGACTTTCAGAACAACTCATCATACACATGCATAATGTTGAAAAAGCTGCACAGGCAACAAACAAACAGAACCAAAAAGCACACACAAAACTCTAGAGCAGCTGGCTGCACATCACTGTTTAGAATTCTGTTGCTGACTTCGTAAATACTGCAGGTATTATTCTGTTCTGAAGCACTGGAGATCCAAATAGGGTATTGAAGATGCTTTAGTTTCCTCTCTCATCTGGATAGAGGAGATAAAGCGTAACTGTTTTGACAACACAGCAGCAAAACATCCAGTGTTTTGAAAACCTTCGATCTTTAATCTTGATTGAGAAAAATCTCTATTTTCTTGAAGAACACACATGGATTCCTGGGAGTTTGAGCTACCATCAGAAAAAAGTCCCTCACTTTTTCCTACAAAAAGAGCAGAGTTGGATGCAGTTAAGGAAACACTGGGGCACTGGGGGTGTTCTCCGTATCTCTAGACATACCTCTTCACTGCTCCTGATCTGGCTCTCCTGATTTATCATGCTAACGTGGCAAAAAGCTTCCCACTTCTTTTTTGGACTACTATTTTGCAGACTGAATTGACTTGGCTAGTCGAATGCATACTGGAACAAACAAAAGGAAAACTGCTGGAATGAATACCAGAGGGGAAATCACAGTCTAACAAGAGGCAGTTCTCAGACTGGCTTAGATGTACCATCAAATAACATCTTCAGCTATAAAATTCCCAGCAAGTTGACCCAGGAAAACACTTCTCATAGTAAATCACTTTCCTAATTTAACTTGGAACACATGACAATAGTAACAAATTAGTTACTCTTCTACAACAATTAAATAGACTCACAAGAATTAGGAGCTGAGAACTCCAGCTTGGAACATGTGTATCAACTGTTACACAGTGATCTCTTCATACATATTTCTTTATACACAACAAGTGGACCAATGATTTACAAATGTTCAAAATAGGCTGTGGTTTAAGCATACTTGTCTGTTGTTATTTTAAACTACCACAAACAATGTCAGCAGTTGAGACAGCAAATCTGATGATATATTCCATATACTGATTGCACTGTTAGAAAATGAAAACACTTTTATTTTATAGCCATCCTCTCAGGCAGGTGTTACACATTTTATTTCAAAAGACTCAAGGCCCTCCAAGCTCCATCTCTTACTACTTCCTCACATTTTCCTTTCAAGAGAATAACACATCCTGTAAAACCATCTTCAGATCAAGAATCAGCACAGACACCTCTCTTGAATCTTACGACAAACCTTCTCATTACCCTGGTACTCCCTCTGGTTCAGCAAAGCAATTCGTTCAATGCTGCTTTCAGAGTGCTATGTGAATTACATCTCAAATTTAAAGTGAGTAAACCCACTCTCCAGCTTTTTCTGTGAATTCTGCACCTGGAACCAAGCCCTAAAAAAATCTGCATCACTGTACATAATTCAGTGTTATGCAATAAAATAACCTCTCATTATACTTTACCTCCAATTCTAAAATAACGTGGCAGTACATTGGTACCTCAGCACTATATTGCATCTGATGACTTCAGGTGTTGTCAGGTGATAACACCACTCATGCTGATCTTATTCACTGTTCTGCACATCTCTGAAGCTGCATTTCTACACTGCACCCATCAGCAGGTGCCATGGTGTACCATCCCATTCCTTTCTCTAGATGGAGGTGCTACAGATAGTTCATGAAAACTCCTTTTTTCTCACCCATCCACAATACTTCATACCACAGAGAGAGAAAAATCTAGCAGTAGAATTATTCAACTGATATTGTCTACTGGAGTCCCAAATCAAAGGTAGGGTTAATAACAGAATTATTTACAATTTTTGTAATTCTGTTACTTGGTGATAATAAAATATTTGCTGAAAGAGGAAATACAGATTTCTAAGCCTTCTGTTTACGATCAGCTTAATGAGCTGGCAAAACTTCATTCTTCTTGTTTGGAAAATGGACTGAAATGGCTATAGCAAATTCTGCTTAGTGCCAAACTGCTCTCTGTGCTTAGAATACAGCTTAGAATAAAGCTACACCAAAGCTCCCCCATTTCTGGTTGAAGTTCAAATGTCACCAAACAACTCATTACCACACGACTTCTTTGAGATGCAGGATAAAATGCAGTGTTTTTATATCTTAAAAAGACCTCATTTTACTTCAAAAAAATATTTATTTCCACATTTTTCATTAAACATCTTTTGTTGAGATCCTGCAAACAATGCCATCTAACAAAGTGCCAATTTTTTCTTCCTGAGGAGTGATCTTGTATATCTGTGGGGAAAAAAAAAGAACAATAAACACAAAGGCTGTGTAAGGAATAAAGTGGATTGCACACATTCAAAAAACATGCACACAAAAGATTTCCCACTTTTTACATTAGAATCTTGTCTTGCAGGCTAGATAAATTTGGGGATGAGAAACTAAGCAAATTCTGAAACTGCAAGAAACAAGAGAAAGCAAAGAAACTGAATGAGAGCAGTACTCTTAGATATGCCATGATCAGTCCAATTTTGCTGCGCTCTCCCACCATTACTTTCATTGAGGTGATCAAGAAGATGTAAACTACTTGAATTATATATGTGGCCTGGATATTCTTCAAGCATATTCCTCAAACACGTATTCTTCAAGATACCTTCCTAGCATATGGCAATCTGTTAAGAGCACACAAGCCCTAACAGAACTCCTAGCAGCTAGTCAACACATTTTTATTTAGCCACCCATGTTGCAACTATTTGGGTATTTAAGATTATGAAATTCCTTAGGACTGAGAATTTGTTTTCAATTATATGCATATTTATCTGAGAAAACAGGAAGCAAAAGTGACTGTATGGTAGGCACCAATCTGCAATTCATTTTTTATGGTCCAACTTCCTGATTATCTTAAAGAATTTGATGACTTAAAATTTGTCAGTGTGTGATGCCTGAAACTTTTTTTCCAGAGTAACAAAAATTTAAAAAAATCAAGTTTCATTTGAAAAAGCCCCAAAGTTTACAATCATGCTAAAGAAATAAAAACCCTATGTGAAAATTGAGATATGCTACCAGACAATTACATACATTATTCCTTTTATTAAACCCAGCCATCTCTTTTGGTTGCATACCTTTTTAACTTTGGCAATGTCTGTTAGCTGGGGAAGCTCATCTAGAGAAACCTGTTGGCCTTCTACTTGAGATGCTATATCTTCCAGATTTACCATTTTTTCTCTGTCTACAACCAGAACAATAAGTACTGCTGTGTCACTGTCTGAAATGCCAAACTTTTTAAATGCATCTGAAATCTAGGAAAAGATTAAAAACATCAAAATGTTACACTTATTACATCAAAATAATCATGTTCTTTGCTATGTCTTTTCAGTTACTGGATCAAATAAACCAAAATAATAAATTAATGCATTTTATCTTAATGGAACTCTGAAAATCAACAAGAGATATCAGCATATTTGTGTTATTAAAAATAACAGTAACTTCTATTAGTTTGCTAGGTTAAGCAGATAACTACACTTGTCTGGCTGCAAGGCTATTAGCAAGTTTCTCTGGCAAAAATGACATTTGAAGAGCGTATCTTACATTGTTGTTTGGTGAAAGGTTGAAGATAATTTCTGCATTGAGAGTTCTGGTCTTCATTTTACCTATCTTGTGTAGATGAACCGCTTTGTTGGCTGCCACAAGAACTTGAAAAGGATCTACGATCTGTAAAATACAACCAAAGTTAAACAGAAATTCAGCATAGTATTTTGGACTCTGGTCAAAATAATGACCAACTAATTTTGATAGCCTAAGTCCATAATCATAAAAGCGAGCAGTACAACTTAGCAGTTCTTGTTCTTCCAAAGTCAATGGATTATTTGCTGAGTGGGACAATCATTAGAATCATAAAGGTTGGAAAAGATTGCTAAAATCATCTAATCCAGCTATTCTTGCATCCTTACCATGCCCACTAACACACATTCCTCAGTGCCACATCTCCACGGCTACAAAACACCTCCAGGGCATTGACTCCACCACCTCCCTCCTTACCACTCTTCCTAATATCCAACCTGAACCTGCCCTGGTGCAACTCGAGGCCATTCCCTCTTGCCCTATCACAGTTACATGGGAGCAGAGGCCGACTCCCACCTCCTCACAGCCTCCTTTCAGGCAGCTGTAGAGAGCAATAAGGCCTCCCCTGCGTCTCCTCTTCTCCAGACTGACCCATCCCAGTTCCCTCAGCTGCTCCCCATCACTCCTGTGCTCCACACCCCTCACAGCTCCGCTGCCCTTCTCTGGACACGCTGCAGGGCCTCCATGTCTTTCTTGTAGTGAGAATCCCACAACTGAACACAGCACCAAGGTGAGAGAATCACATTTACAACAGAGATTACACTCTGAAGTCAGGTTACTCACACTACTAAACATGTCAGCAAATTACCAGATTCAAATCTTTTTCTTTCCCCTCCCCCACAACCGCCTCTCTGCTAACAAAAAGGCCTTCGTTCAGAAAGCAGTCATAAGTTTACAGAAGCAGAAAAGAAACTTTTAGCAGATCACGCACCGATCACTTCGGAGGTGCCCGTTCCCAAGCCAGCCAACGGCGCGGCTCCCCGCGCAGCCCCGCGGCCTTCAGGGCCGTACCGCAGCGCAGCAGGACAGCAAAGCGCCCGCTCACCATGGCAGGGTTTATCAGCGCTCCTTCGATGGATCCCTCCACGGCCTTCCTCCGCAGGACAGCGGCGTTCCGCACGCGGTTGAAAAGGAGCAGCGTGACGCAGCGCTCGGGGAACAGCTCCAGCGGGTGCGTGAGGTGCATCCCGCAGCGCCGGCGGGACGGCCGGGCACACGGAGCAGCACTACTGCGATCTCACATAAAACAGCGCCGTAACAACACAACCCTCCGCTCGAGGAGGCGTCCAGCGGCGGCTGAGCTGCGCGGCCCCGCAGCCGGCTCCTCCCCCCCTCCCGTCGCCCCTCCTACCGGCCCCTGCGCCGCCCGCTCACGGCCCTCCCGGACGTGCGGCGGCATGGAGGGGGTAGAGGTGTACGGCTTCTCGGCCGCCATGAGCGGCGCCTTCCTGCTCTCGTCGCTGCTCTTCGCCGCCGTCAACCGCCGCCTGCGGGAGCCCTACATGGACGAGGTTTTCCACGTCCCGCAGGCGCAGGCCTACTGCCAAGGCCGCTTCCTGCAGGTGGGCCCGGCCCTCGGGGCTGCTTTCTTAGGGGCGCCTCCGGGCGGCAGCTGTCGCTGTCGGCTCGCGGCGCTCGGGATGGGTGATTGCTGTAGGAGGGAGAGGGGAGCTAAAGTCACGCGGAAGGGCGGTCCCCGCCGTGCCGTGCCTGGTTGCTGGTGCCTGAAATTCGTTAGACATCCACGTTAACGAGAGCGGTGATCCTCCCCCTCTGCACTGTTCCGGTGAGGCCACTGTTGGAATATTGTGTCTGGGCTCCCCAGTGCAAGAAAGACAGGGAACTGCTGGAGGGAATCCAGCGGAGGGTCACAAAGATGACTGGGGGCCTGGAGCACCTCCCTTATGAGGAAAGGATGAAAGACCTGGGGCTTTTCAGCCGGGAGAAGAGAGGGCTGAGAGGGGATCTCGTCAGTGTTAATAAGTACCTACAGGACGGGAGTCAGGTCAGGAACAGGCTCTTTGGTGGCAAGCAACAGTAGAGCAAGGGGAAACGGGCACAAACTGGAACAGAGAAAGTTCTGTACTGACACAAGGAAGAAATTCTTTACTGTCAGAGTGAAAGAGCACTGGAACAGGCTTTCCAGAGAGGTTGTGGAGTCTCCTTCTCAGGAGATAGGCAAGACCTGTCTGGATGCCTATATGTGTGACCTGCCATAGGGAACCTGCTTCAGTAGGAGGTTGGACTCAATGATCTCTAGAGATCTCTTCCAGCCCCTACAATTCCGTGATTAACAAATCAGAGCAGAGGTTGGAATTACATACCCAAACCCTGCTGCACATCTGTGGGGCGGTTTTTGTGTGACAGCAACCCTCTGATGCCTGTCTCCCATTCTGCAGTGGGATCCCATGATCACCACCCCTCCGGGTCTGTATCTGCTGTCGGTTGGTGTGGTGAAGCCAGCAGCCTGGCTCTTTGGCTGGACGGGCAGCGTGGTGTGTTCCACCGGCATGCTCAGGTTCATCAACCTCCTCATCAGTGCTGGCAACTTCTACCTGCTGTACCTGCTTCTGCTGAAGATCCATCAGAAAAATAAGGTACAAAGTAGGATTGTTTTATGTACCAGTACAAACAATTCCTTGACTGCATGTGTTTACTTATTTGAGCTACTCTCTGTTTCATATAATTGCAGGTCAGTTTCACCAAGGAGGCACATGCCTTTTATGTAAAAAAAAAGGAAAAACATATTTTCTGTCTGAGTTTGATCCTCCAAAAATGTACTCTTATGTATATCGATAAGTGGACCCAATGAAACATGGCCTCAGGTTAGGGGAGTTGGTCCTGCCCCTCTACGCTGATGGGAACTCACCAGGAGTACTATGTCCAGATGTAAAGTCCTCAGTACAGGAGAGATGTGCACCCATTGGTGCACTTCTGGTGGAGGGCCACAAAAATGATAAAAATGATCCAAAGGATGGAACGCCTCCACTATGAGAACAGGCGGAGAGCTGGGGCTGCTCAGACTGGAGAAGACAAGGCTGATAGCGGCCTTCCCGTATCTGAAGGGGGGCTGTAAGAAGGAAGGGGACAGATTCTTCAGCAGGGTCTGTTGCGATGGGACAAGGGGAAATAGTTCCAGAGCTATGGTTTGATTTTTGTGTGATCTTGTGTGGAGCTATGAGTTGGTGATCCTTGTGGGTCCCTTCCAGCTTGGAACACTTTATTCTTCTATGAACAGCAAGTTGGAAGAGGTCTTGGGAGGTCTGTAGTCCAACCTCCAGCTCAAAGCAGACAAGCCCTGAGATCAGACCAGGTTGCTCAGTGACAACACAGCCTCAGTGGGCAACCTGTTCCACTGCTTGACTGGCCTCATGATAGAAGACTAGTGATTTTTTTATTTTTTTTCCCACATCCAGTCTGAACCTTTTGTTTCAGTTTATACCCATTGTCTCTTGTCCTCCAACCAAGTGTTGTTTGAAGAGCCCAACTCCCTTTATCTGATAACTTCCTCATGGGTAGACTGCTGTTCAATTCTCCCCAAACCATCTATTTTCTGGGCTGAGCAAGGCCATCTCCCTCAGCCTCTCTTCTAAGGGCAGGTGCTTCTGCATTTTGCTGTCTTGGTGGCCCTTTGCCTTTGCTCCAGTTCAGTAATGCCTTTGTCCCCTTATGGAACACAAAACTGGATGTGGTATACTAAACACAGCATGACATACATGGAATAGAGATGGATAATTGCTTTCCTTGACTGCTGCTACCTTTTGCCAGTGCAGCTCAAGAGGCTGTTGCTGTTCTTTTGTGCCAGGGCACAACTGTGCTTCATTTTCACTTTGCTGCCTCCTGAGAACCCTGGCTCCTTTTCCAAAGTGGATCCTCAACTTCTCCATGTCAAGTCTGTATCATTGCACAGATTGCTTCCCAGATACAGGCATTTACATTTGCTTTTGTTGAATTTCATAAGATTTCTGTAACTTTATTCTCTAGCCTGTGTAGGTCAATCTGAATGGCAGCCCTGTCCTTGAGTATATTGTCTGAGTCACTGCAGGTCAGTGTTATTGCACTGTGTACTCTGTTGTTTCAGGTCACTGAGAAAGATGTTAAACAGGACAGGTCCCAGTAGAGATGCCTCCAGTATTCTTACCTTTGGATAAAATTTGATACAGCCCATTTTTACCTATTTAGCTGTCCACCCATACAGACTATAGCAGTTCAATTGGGATACAGGACAAATACAGTTGTATTTTTAAAGTGTTGAATCATCTACCATTGCAGTAGGTAAATTTTTTTCAGTGGTTAATGGCCTAGTCAAAGTCTTTCAACTTAGTGAAAGTTCTTTAGTTTCACTTTTTATCCATAAGAACATGTTTGCTGTTGCCCAATCCCTTTACTGTAAAGGACGTATTTTCTTACAGGAGACTCACGTGCTTTTAAGCACATGGTAAGACACCAAATTAGGTCAAATTGAATAAATTGTTTCCTTTTTTGGAATAATTAATTTTATGTTTGGAGATCGAAATATAATTATAAGAAAACAAAAGATTTCTTGATAATAGTACTAGCATGAAAAATTGTGTTTCTGTTGTTGCTGCTTCTTTGAGCTCAGTGTTTTGTGTATTCTCTTTTCTTTATGGTGGCGACTGTTTCATCCAACACTACATCCTTCAGAAACATCATGCAGCATTTTTTTAATGTGAATTGCATCATACTGTGGAGTGAGTGAGATAATTGGCAGAAGTTTTAAACAGTATGATCTCCTATCTTCTTTAAAGTTTTTTTTTTTTTTTTAAACTTATGAATTATAAGGAAAATAAACAATAAAAGCTGCACCCAAGATTAGAAACTTGAGCTGGCCATTTTGTGAGCTGGCTTCAAAAGACAAAACAGCACGGTGTGTTTTGCTGTCTTACAAACAGAATGTGATAATGAGATTGCAGTGGCGTAAAGGACTGAATTTTTTTTCTTTTTCCCATTAATGTATTTTTTTCTCCTAGATGTGTGAGCAGTTACAATCCCACCATGATTTTGATGTCACAAGTATGTGAACCCCCGATGTAGAAAAGGAGTTGGTGTATTTTCTTTGCCATGTATTTATCTCACCAGCAATAAAGTTTGATGTTTTTGTTTGTCTTTTAACATTTTATTGTCCAGCATTCCATATTAACAGAGCAGGAGCTTAACAGAAATGTAGCATGTGTGGTCATACAACAACGGAATCAAAGGGTGTAGGAGATGCTATGTTGTCATAATGGAATTCTCACAAATATATGTGTTTTTTTAGTTGGAATTACTAATCCTATTTCTCTGCTTCTTTTCTAGGCTGTGTCAGGTTTCCAGAGAATCTTGTCTTCGTTAACTCTTGCAACATTTCCCACCCTTTATTTTTTTACATTCCTTTATTATACAGACACAGGATCAGTATTTTTTACTCTCTTTGCGTATTTAATGTGCCTTTATGGTAACCATAAAGCTTCAGCTCTGCTTGGATTTTGTGCTTTCATGTTTCGTCAGACAAATATCGTGTGGACAGTTTTTTGTGCTGGAAATGTTGTTGCAGAAAAGCTAAATGAAGCCTGGAAGACAGAGTTACTGAAAAAGAAGGATGAAAGGATCTCTTCCATGAGAACATCATTTTCTGATCTGACCTTAATCACGCGATTTCTTATTGAATATCTCATATCTCCTAAAAACTTGATTACACTTATTGCTTTAACATGGCCATATATTGTGTTAGTAACTGCGTTCTTTGTTTTTGTCTTCGTCAATGGTGGAATAGTTGTTGGTGACAGAAGTAGCCATGAAGCCTGCTTGCACTTTCCCCAGCTGTTCTATTTTTTGTCCTTTACTCTCTTTTTTTCCTTCCCTCATTTACTGACCCCTGCTAAAATCAGGAAATTCCTGCAGTCATTGCGAAGGCACCGTGTGCAGTACATGCTAATCGCTGCCATCTCTTTGTTCTTGATTTGGAAGTTTACCTATGTTCATAAGTATTTGCTAGCAGATAATAGACATTACACATTCTATGTCTGGAGAAAAATCTTCCAAAGACATGAGCTTGTAAAATATGTGTTAGTTCCAGCCTATATATTTGCTGGCTGGAGTTTTGTTGATACAATAAAATCAAAATCGATATTCTGGATCTTAATGTATTTTGTATGTTTATTATCAGTCACAGTTCCCCAAAAGCTGTTAGAGTTCCGTTACTTTATTTTGCCATTCTTAATATACAGGCTCAATATTCCATTCCCACCCGTCTATAGACAACTTGTTGAGTTGGCTTTTTACACTGTTGTGAATGCAGTAACATTTTATCTTTTCCTAAACAAAACATTCCAGTGGCCAAATAGTGTAGAAATCCAGAGGTTTATGTGGTGACTTTTTTTAACCTTCGTACCCTTATGGAAATCCAATTCTGTTTCAGAACTGTGGGCTCTGGAACAAAGTACCGTTTTGTATTATATGTGGACTTTTTTTTTTTTTCTTCCCAGAGGACTGGAGAAGGAATGAAGTTGCATATGTTCTTGGAATTGAATGGGATGTGTTATAATGTGCAGATACTGAATTTCTGAACTCCTAGAATTAACAAATTTGGTAGGAGATGAAATTTGGGAACACTTAACAGTAATTAATGTGAAACATGGGAGATGTTTACAGTCATTCTGTAGGTTTATCTTTAAAACAGCATGCTTAAGTGTTACGCTGGGATGCACACTTGTTTGAAACAGGCTGCTTCCATCTATGCCTGCTAGAAGTCAAGGTATGAAGCACTGCTCAATGATAACGTTTTCAAAAACACCTACATCCTACAACCTACTGAATTTTCTGGATTTTTTTCTTTGGTCAATAAATGCTTACATGAGTTTTGCAAACAGAATGTTGGCTCTTTCATCATTAGGACGTTTTGGAAATTCTATTTCAAACTGATAGTTAAAAAACACAGTGGAGGCTGCCTGCATGTACATTCTTTAGGGGAATAAATGTTACTGTACAACAAAAGATAAATTGCAGTTGATATTGTAACCTATTAGAAGGGGATTAATTTACGTGTGTCAGACTGAAACGTGTTGTTGCACAATGGAATGCAGTACAATGAATGCCCCTTTAAATAATAGGGCTTTTATGTCCCAAAGTTCTGTGTTCAGTTTATATCCAAGTAGGATGTGAGTGCGCTTCCAGTTCCAAATTGAACTCGGTGTTTCTAAGATCTTTGACTTGTAATCTTACACAATTACTAATGGCACTACTGAATTGTTCTTTTAAGTGCTTTGCATAAATATGCAAATTTAATGGAATTAAGGGGAACGTGTATTTTTTACATGGGCAAAATAGAATGGTTGTCATTTGTTGTTGTTGGTTGTGGGATTTTTTGTTTTGTTTTGTTCTGTTTTTTTAAAGCATTCAGTGCATTATTTTCAGAATAAAAGAAGGCTGTAATGATTCCTGTCATAAAATGACTTTAATGAGGCTAAAAAAATTCAAGTTAACAGTTAAGCAGTTTTTATAAACATAATATGTTGTGGTGGGGGGTTGAAAGTTTTGCATACTGTGTAGCATCTCTAAGGCCTCTAAAGTGCTGTAGTCCCATCTGAACAAATTTACTGTTGTCACCCCTCCAGTCACTTTAAAAGTCAGTGCTGTGGAGTTACTTACTCGTAGTGGTTCTGTTACTTTTTTTCTTTACTGTATGCAAATCAATAGTCTGGCTCTGAGACCTTCCCATAAAGAATGTGGTTGTCTCATTCTCCTGTCCAATGCAACCCTGTTTCTTCCAAGGAAACCTTAAAGCCCACTCAGTAAGTGGGTTCATTTAAATTGCATTTGAAACGCTTTGTAGAAAGTTACTGCTTTCTTTTTTGCCTTGTTGTCAGGATGGTAATTTGTTGGTATTGTGCGTACAATAGGAAAAGCCGTTTTTTGATCACTCTCCATTTGGCTTTACCAAATTGAAAGGCCAAGAGAAGTGCACTGGGTTGCTTTTCAAGAATCTGACATGGTTCTTGTGGAGTCCAGGATGCTGTGCTGTGCTGTGATTGTACTGTGATGGATTTGGGGGGAAAGTTTTGCATGCCTCTTGATCCAATTCTGCTTTTGTAAAACGTTATCGTAAAAACGTAAACAAAGTAAAGAGCAGAGGCGTGTTTCAACTGCCTCAAATGGTTTTTCATCTTCAAATGGTAGTACTGAGCAGGTTAGAATGGTAATGTGGAAAGGGTAGGGATCTGGCTAGAATTTTGACCTACCTGCTAGACCTGGTATTGTTTTGTTTTCCTGGCTTTATGTACAGGAGCAGGAGTGCACTGCTTTAACAAGATGAAAAAATTCCTGTACAGCAGTCTACAGTTGTATTTTGTCCAGGATGGCTATTGATGCTGGTATTTGAATGCCCCATATAATCAGCTCTGTTAGGACAGTGCTTATGCTTGTCTATTCAACTGAGGTAGCAGCCATGTTTCAAATGGAAAGAAATGAGTTTTAATACATGCTGTATTAATGCAAGTATGCATTTCTTTTAAAGACAAGCAAATGCAGAAAGCCCCCAAAAGTTAGAGCACAGTGCCTTTCTGGTGAGCTCTACATCACAATATACTCTGTAGAGAGGTGTCTGTGAGCTGCTTTACTAGTTTGTTTTCAAGAACATTGTAAGATGGAATAATATTTTATCAGAGTTTTCATTTAACTCTCCACTTATTCTCAGTGCTTTCTGTTAAGGTTAAGTTTAAACAAATTTTTACAACTGGGAAAATGCACAAATGACAGGAAAGGAGCAGGATGACGGGAATGAAAACAGGAAAGGAGCAATTTGTTGTTAAAGCTATTTTAACTTTCGCTGGTGATCCAGAGAGACTTTACAGGTAATATTCAGTGTTAATATGGTTCAGTTTCAGAAATCAAGGTGATTGTAACTACATCATCATTAGTCTAAAAAAAAAGGCTTAGATTCATTTTTTTCAGAGACAGAAAGAAGGGACGTTCTCAATAAATCAAAATGCAGAACTGAACAGTCACAGTGTGACTGAATTGTTTTGATGACACATAATTCTTATGTGACTTAATGTGGCAGTTCTTAGAGTTACATAGAGGTGCTTATTTGAGAAAGTAGAAAGTTTGTTTTCAAACTAAGTTTATAAATTGTATTCTCTGTTGTTTGTGTTTTGTGTTGTTTTTTGCCTCTTTGGTTCTTTAGCAACATGCTTGTATTCAAAATTAGCACGAATTTGACACCATAAACAACATGTACGTGCTGAAATAGTTTTTACTTCTTACTCTGATAGTGTGCAGATGGATTCTTTCTGCTGAAAATCCTGCAGGAAAAAGTCCTCTGGTTTTCGTTCTGTTAGTGCAGGTTTGACTTTTTTCAGCAGGTGGCAGACTTGTGCCATCGTGTTCTTCTGACCCATGCTCAACGGAATGCTGCTGGAAATCACAGCGTTGGGGTTTAAGCATCACTGCTTGCTGAGAACTGGAAAACTTCAAGTCTGTCATGGCTGATTGCTTGTTTTAGTAACTAGCTTAGCTAAAATATCGTTGTACTTAATTATCAATCTATATAGTATGATATATTTCAGGAGAAGAGCTATTTTTTTCATCTTCAAAATGTCTCCTTTTGATATTTTTTCTATTTACAGAGTTTTCATATCTGGTCTTAGAGAACAAAATGAAACTTGAAAGCTTGCTGTTGAAACATCTGTTTTACAATGTAATAATTGCTTAGAAACTTACATGGATTTTCTTCTGCTGTTTTATTACTGACTTTTCCAGTATTCTTTTTTTCTTCACATAGTCTATCCATTGCCATATACATATATATATATATATAGATAGATAGATAGATATAGATATAGGCCAAACTGAGGAAAGCAAAGAAATTCTACTTTTGAGACTGACACATTTGCTCTTTTTTGTTGGATGATGAGCACATGCAGTGCAAATGTTCGAATGGCTGTTAGCCCCATAGTGGTTGACATACTGTATTTTAAATGCATCATCTACTTTCTGTGTTGTGAAAAATCTGAACCAAGAGTCCATGGAATTAATGGGTTTTTTTTGGTCTATATTTACCATTTTGTTGGGTTGTTGTTGTTGTTGTTTTTCCTCCTCCTAAAGAGCTTTGCCATCCTTGCTCATCTCTTGTTAGCTAGGATAGGTTTTTCTCTTTGTTTCAGTGACGTTTGTCAGCTGAGACTTCTTTTATTAAAAAAAAAGATCCCTCTTAAAAGTATATTTTAGATGGATCCAGAGAATTGACTTTTACTAGCAAACATCATTTTGCAAACAAAAAGAATCCCTGCATGAGACTGAAATGCTAAAGCAGTTAGCAACATATAGCTCAAATGCCATTAATTTGTGAGTTCTTGGCATTGGGCTTTCAGGTTAATCTCAGAGCATGTTCAGAACCTCAGTCTGTTCCTTCAGCTCCAGGAAAAGTTGGGTTATAAGAGCAGGAATCAGAAGGGAAAGGATTGGTACAGGTAACTGCTGTTGCTCTCAGAGTTGTGAAACACCAGCTGGAAGGAGAGGCTGCTGGTTGCTGGTAGAACAACATTTCTGAAACTGGAGGACGAGTTGGTTTATCAAATAGTGTTTCTAGTACTTGGATGTGGATTTATAAATAACTATCTTAATGTTCTCAAGAAATGTTGTGAGCTTACTTGAACTGCAGCTGTGTGTCAGCAACGGGAAAGGAGTTCATTGCCCAGACACTGCTGTTTTGGTAAAGCAAAAATTGTCATATCTTAAAAAATAAATACTCCTAAAACACTATTCTTGTGTGTTTTATTTCCTGGTTCTATGTAGATGTTAACTGATACACCGTGCATTTAATTGGAATTGGCATGAACTGGCTTGAATGGTAGCACTGTGCATCTTTTCAAGGATGTAATTGCAGAAATTTGTGTCCTTAGCTACCTTGTGATCTCCTCTAATGAGATTACATTTCCATGTTTTCATATCAACTCTCCTAATAGCATTGTCGTAGAAATAATGCAAAAGGAATGGTTGTGGTGATTATTGCTTCCAGGACTCTCTAATTTTAAGGCACTGCTTCAAGCCTGCACATTTCATGCATGTAAATCATGCTGCATTTTCTTGGGTTCCCATCAAATCTCAAACAAAACGTTGCCTGGTTGAATTTAAATGTAAATGGCAAGCTTCAAAAGAACAAAGGAGCACAGGCAGGAATATTACCGATTTCAGAGATAACATTTTGCCCCCTGGGTCGGTGCTGAGCAAATGGCATGGTGGTGGTGGGTGGGAGTAAGCACAACAGAACTGCAGTCCTGGTGAAGAGCAACCTGGCTAATTTCAGCTAACATTTTCTTTGTTGCAAATGGGATTCCTTACTGCTGTGTGCACTTGTGCACAGCTACAGCACTGTATGCTTCTCATTACCAAGGGGATTGTTTTATGTTAGTAGCCTGCTGCGTTGTGGCCTTCACCTGTCGTGAAGGTGGGAACTCATCTGCCAGACATCTTGTGAAATCTATCTGCTGTTGAGAGCTGCTTTGGAGCACAGCATCTTTGGGCTGAGCACTTGTGAGCTGTGGGCCCTCACACCCAGCTTTTAGGCCAGAATGATTTGAGTTAGAGTTGATTTTCCTGGCAACCACACTGCTGCCTAATTTGAAAACCTTCAGTTCAATACAGGCTGTTAGCTTGCTTTGAAGTCTGAAGAAGCTTTGTGGAATAACTTTCCCTGTCCAATTTCATTCTACCAGAAAAAGAACCAGGAGCGTGCCAAAGGAAAAGATTATTTGCTGATTGTGGTAAAAAGCTGCATATATCTATGCTAAAAATGTACTGGTGCAGATTTCTTTTAATAATTGGGAATTTTGTACAATTAATTCTTGCCATTTTCTATATTCTATTCCGAAATGAGGAAGAGCAATAGTTTATTGTTTAAGAGCCAAAAGAAAATAAAAGTTTGCACTTTTCTAAAGCATTATGAAGAAAAAGTGGTTTGGGATTTTGGAGCTATTTGATGTGTGAGGGGAGCTTTAAGTTTGCCTTCAAGATAAATACTCTTAATTTCTCTCTGCTCTCCTTCCCTGTTTGCGTAATTTACACTGCCTAAATTTTGGAGGGGGTGGCAGAGGAGATGGTACTGTAATGACCTAATCCAACTGTTCGCATGGCAGTTGGCTGCAGAACTTCAGGAACTTCCATGGAGTGGGAATTAGCTTCCAAGTTATGTAAGTGAATCCTGTAGAGTTTAATATTTTGTGGCTGACACAGAGCATGTCTTCTGAAAACACATTCTATTTAAAGCCAACAAAGCAATGAATTTGCCATGTCC